AAGTGTCCCATCAATGATGAATGGATAAAGGAAACGTGGCTACACACACACACACACACACACACACACACACACACACACACACACACAGAGGAATACTATTCCTCTATGAAAAGTGAAACGAATCTTGCCATGTGTGACAGAATTGATGGAGCTGAGAACATCCTATTATATGAAATTAACCAGACACAGAAAAAGACAAATACCATATGATCTCACTCATATGTGGAATATAAAAAAGTTAATCTCCTAGATGTTGAAGGTAGACTACTGATTACCAGAGGTTTGGGAGATTAGGGGACAGGGAGGGCTGAGGAAACATTTGAGTATTAAGTTATATATAGAAGAAATAAGTTCTGGTGTTCTATTATTCAGGAGGGTGACAACAGATAACAATAATGAACTGTATCTTTCAAAAAAGCTAGAAGAAAGGATTGTAAATGTTTTTACCCCAAAGAAATAATAAATGCTTGCTGAGATGGCTATGCTTATCATGATCTAAGCATTACACAATATATACATGTATTGAAACATCACATTAATATGTAGTATTTTATGTGGAAATTTTAAAAAATGATTACAAAATTGTAAAAAATTCAAGATTAATGGAGGAAAGCATGATAAATTTATGAAGAGTAAATATTCTCATAGCAAAATATTATGAGTAGGTATTAGACTTTTAATAAATGATCATCATTTAATAATGATGATTACAGATCACCTGTAAGCACTTACCAGGGAAAATAAAAAGTATGTACAATGAACCTAAGTTCATCTTGGAAGAAATACATGAAACAAAATTATAATTTTAGTTGCTATTAGAAAACATTTTATTTTTACTTTGCATGATCATAGCTATACCTGAAGATAGCTTGACAAGAGATAACAAAAAGAGAATGAAGAGAGTGAGTAATAGCAAAATGCATTGCCTCTGTGTATGAAGATGGTATAATGAAATGCACTGAAAGCTGCTGAATAATAGGGGAGATAGAGAAAGAGTAATAGAAGGGGTTACTCTGATTAAAGTGCAATATATGAACATATGCTTGTGTGAAATACCATGATGCATCCCCCTTGGACAATCAATAATACACTTAAAAAAATGAAGGACAGGAAGGTAAAACAGATCCTGTCTGAGTAAGGGGGAGGGTAAACAGAGAGGGTAAAGTAGGGTGAACATGGTAGATGCACTTTGTGTAAGTGTATGAAAACAGAACATTAGAACCTACTGAAATTGTTCTAGGTGGGAAGACAAGGGTGAATGATGGAGGTGGTGAATTTAATCAAGATACATTAGAAGCACATATGTAAATGTCACATTGAAACCCCCCTGAACAATTAATACATGCTAATAAAAATGTTAAAAAGAATTGCAAAGGCCCTCTTATGAATGATATGATGGGAGGGGATTTCTAGGTACAATGGAGTAAACATAATCTTGTCTTTCTCAAATGTAAAGAGCAATTATTTGAGGAGTTGGAAAGTGAACAGTAGGAATTAGATTGGAAGAGAATACCAGAACTTTATCAGCCAACAGGCCATAAATTTTTAAACAGAATTTTCTTGTCTGGCCTGAACATGTGATTTGAAACTTAAAGAGTGGTGTCAGCACTGAGGAGAATTCCAGGGAAGACTTCTAGTTATAGCTCATGTAAGGAGAAAGGGAAGTTCTAAAACTCATGGAGAATACAAAAATACCTCATTACTTCTTCTCCAGGTTGTCTCATGTCCCAGCCCTCAAGCTATCCCATTGTGGTAGTGGCAGAGGCAGCAATGGGAATTCAAAACAGGCCAATTTGGTTTTTTGGTTTTTTTTGTAGGAGGAGAATTTTTCTCCTGTTAGTAGAGCTATGATGTAAACGGGGTACCAAAAGTAGTTTTTTCTCCTCCCTCTTTCTGACCTCCTGTTGTTTTCTTGCTATAGAAAGAACTGATGAAATGCACAGCATAATGTTTAAATAAAGCCCTAGATTTCTGTCCAAAATATCAAAATGAGGAGTACACAAAAAGAGGAAGTACCACAAAGAAAACAGAGGAGGAGATGCTCAATAAAGGGAGCCTACAAAATTATGTTTGGGCTCACTCTTGAGCTGTATGCACATAGATCTGATCCTAATCAGAATTTCAAAGATTCTGAGAACTGTATCAGACTGTCTACTGGGAGGTGCAGGATAGATGTGATAGCTTTTGCACTGCTGAAAACAGAACTGAAACTGGAACCACAGCCCAAAGAAAAGAGGTTGGAATTCGCAGGGTGAGCATAACCAGCCAGATTATTATGCTAAAACAAAAATATCTGTATTTTCCATGGAATTTAAACAAGACTCAGGGACTCACAACATAATGTTTTAAGGTGAAGAATACAATCTATTTGTAAAGAATCAAGAATATCTCAACTTACATGGGAAAAGACAGTCAACACAATTCAAACATGAAACACGTTTATATATTTGCATATTTATGGAGTTTATTTATTTTTTAAAATCAAAATAGGTAATATTCTATGTGACTGCTTACCTCATATACAGAATGTCATTTTCTAGGTCAAGATTTCTCTTTTTTAATTCTTCCAACTCTTTTTCTGACTCCAAAGCTCGTACTCCTAAAACCTGATCAACAGTCATGCCAGTTGATTTTAGTTTCCTCTGCAAAGTAATTTTCTCTTTATCTGCTCTGTGGAATTTAATATAGAACCATGAAAATATGCCATTTGCTATTTGGTTTAATTTATTAAATTGCAGCTTAGCCATTATCAGACCAATATATAACAACTATACCATTTTGTATTTGGAATGAACTAATTTATTTCAAAATCACAGGAAATTCTATTTATAATTGTTAAAATATATTAAAAACACATTTTAATAAAAATAAAGAGTGAATCACAGATAAATAATTTAAACTAGCAGACTCTTCATGTTTTCAACTATGGTAAAACTATATCATTTCCAGGTTAATAGGCTTTACATAAAATTAGTTTTACATGAAGTTTAAACTCACTTGGCAAAAAGATCCTTCAAAGTATTCAACTGTTTTGTTAGAGTAAAAACTTCTCCCTCTTTCTCTTTTAACTTGTTTCGAATTCCCTCTATTTTGGTTTGCCATTTTTTACCTTCTTCCCACTTAATTAATTCTTCCCTAGCACTCTGTAAAGAATAACAAGTGTATTAGAAAATTACCAATATTGTTTATAATCTCACTTTAAGATTTATCAATTACAATTTACCTAGAAAAACAGTAAACCAATACCTCCAATAAAATATGTAAATAGGTTTGTTTTTTTTTATATAACTTCCAGAATCTTTAGGCATGCCAAGGCTATTAGCAAAAATAACCTTTAGTTTAAGTAGGCTTTATTTAATCACGAGGCAGTTAAAATTCTGAGGGACAGTTTTGACTAAGGCAACCCCTTAAGAAATCATTAAATGAAGACTTTAATATAAGCAATCATGACTACAGTAAGCTTCTGATAAAGCATTTTGTGTAAATGACCAACCCAATCTTGTGGCTCTCTGCCATCAAAAGTGTACAATCTAGCAAGGGAAATCAAAAGATGACAGAAATAAGTAAATATTCCAAAACTAATCAATGCTATGGAGAAAGGAATATAAAGCTCAGGGGGTAGAATTTGTTTTATAAAGAGACTACCCTATTTGCAGAGCAAAAATGTTAAAACTTCCAAATACTCTTTGTATTTTCATGACATTGAAATTACATATAGATAGTGAATAAATTTCACTAACGATAGCTCCTCCATAGTGATTTTCTTCAGGGCAAATATTTCTAACAGCTAGCATGTATGTATATGCATGTATGTGCTGGGGATCAAACCTAGCCCCTTGTGTTAGCTGGACAAATGCTTGACTACTGAGCTATAGCCCAATTCCCAGGTAAACTTGGTATATTCAATATTACTAACATGTTATCTTCAGTTTGTTGTTCATAACAAATTTAATTCCATGTATTTTTATCTAATTTTAGTTTTTCTTTGGGTTATTTCTATCAGAAACTTTTTACAGTTTACTATTTAACCTGTAGGAAAATTTTAAACAATGTATCTCACATTACAAACTCAATTGATGAACAGACTGGTTATCATTACTATAAATGCTGAATATATTCCAAATCATTTCTTGACCCTGAAATAATAGCACTTTCAGCATAGTGAGGACAAAAAAAGACACATCTGGGTCAAAGTAGATGTCTTAACATGTTCAGCTTTATCCCAAAGGTCAAAAGAGAAATGACAATACTGTTGGACATGTAGGGTATGAAAAACATGGACAGAACTATAATGTCAGGAAGATGACATGGGGTTGATGGAGTAATTTCCAAATAAGAATTACATTATAGTTGCCTCCTCATATAAAATGTAGTTTTCTAGATGACAGAAACTTGTCTTGATTTCTCTACTTTGTTCAGTACCACTTTACAGTATGTATTAGACACTCAAATTAATACAGTATCTGTTCATAAGCTACATATTTTACTTAGTCTGTCACTACTTGAAAACATATTAATCAGCACACTTTACATACCTTTTCTTTCATAGGTTTTATGTCTACCTCATCCACTTTTCTTTCCAGTTGGCTTTCTAATTTTTTAACTTTCTTTTGAAGCTCTTCAATTAAACTTTGTTTATTATCTATCAGAGGTTTGCTCTGAAAAAATAAGATGTAACATTATATTCCAGAAATAACTGACAAACACAAAAATACAAAGTAAATATTCCCAATGATAGAAATTTTATGAGGCTATCATGAACCATAGTTTCTAATTGATAATATTAATAGTTAAGTCTAACATTGTAGTTGCTTCCATATTTTGGAAGATATGCTATGCAACAGAGGTTACTAATGAAATTACTTAAAATAATCTGAAAGGCATTTTAGCAAATATTGTAGATGAAATTAAATGGTAGAAATAATTACCTATATACTACAAATCAAAGACACTATCAGAACTAAATATTAAATTACCTGTAACCCACTGGACAGTCTTTTAATTTGCCTTTTCAGTTCATCATTCTCTTGATCAATTCCATCTTTCTCTCTAAGTATTTTAGTATAAGCTTTTTGCTTTCTTTGCAGTTCATTGTGTAAGTCGTTCAAATTATCAGTGAGTAAATTTTCTCTGTTTTTACTTGTTTTAAGAGCTTCCTTCAATTTTAAAAGATTTTCATTTAAATCTTCAATTTGTGACTAATAAGAGATACACAGAAGTGTTACTAAATTTTCACTTGATTCATAAATCAAGTATCAATGATAAAAATCAGAAACTATATCATTAATATTTATTAAAAACAAAACTACAATCTAAAAATTTAAATACAGTATATAAGGAAAAAAATCACAGAGTTTTCCTTGTTTCTTTCAAATGAACCAAGTCTACTTTCAGGGAAAAAAAAATCAAAAAACAATCTAAAGCAGTTTATATTCAAGAACTTATCCAGAAACAAAATTTTATCCAATGTTTCATTACATCTGAATTAATTTAAGAAACCAGTACCTATCAACCTTCCCCAGCAATTTTTTAAAGCATTATGAAGAATAGATGAGTATAAAAGAAAAATTTCTGATTTCAAGTAGTTTGTAATTTACTTTGTAAAGACAAGACATGAAAGTAAGATTAGAGTTGGTAGTATACGTGTATAATCCTACACTTGGAAGGCTGATGCGGAAGTACCACCAGTTCAAGGCAAGCCTTAGCTACATAGTGAGGCTACATACTGAAAGAATAACTTGCAATATCAGACATACACATAAGTCACTAGTTCTTAGTTATCCTACAGAGCTACAATGATGAAAACAATACTATTTGGCCAGTAATACTAAATGTATATGTGTTTTACTGAAAAATTATTACAGGCCAAAGAAATTTACTAATAATACTAAAAAGAAATTAGAAATTAATATTATTATATTGTGGAACATGCCTGTAATCCCCAGTTGGAAAAAAAGCCCTAATTGTCTTGGAAAAGCCAGAAAAGGTTTTGAGAATAAGAATTTGAAGAATATGAAGAATTCAGACAAGATAATATTTCAGGCAAAGAGAAAGGTATTGAAAAAGATATCAAAAAAGCATACTCCTCTTTATATATTTTTATATTTATTTAGTTAGTGGATTTTTATTATCAGCTCTGATAATAATCCTGAAAAGTAAAAATAGAGATTTAAAAAA